AACTGGGACCATAATCCCCAAAACCTCACAGCCTTCAAGGCACATCTACAAACCCCAAAGTCCCAAACTAGACCCCCTGCACACACTCTTTACCACCTCTGAGGTGCTCCCAAGTCTGGGAAGAATTTCAGGGAGCGGAAACAAGAAATACATGTTAAAATGCTACCACAGCCTCTCTGGAATATCATAGAATCATAGAATATTAGGGTTGGAAGAGACCTCAGAGATCATCTAGTCCAATACCCTGCTCAAAGCAGGACCAACACCAACTAAATCATCCCAACCAAGGCCTTGTCAAGCCAGGCCTTAAAAACCTCTAAGGATGGAGATTCCACCACCTCCGCAGGTAACCCATTCCAGTGCTTCACCACCCTCCTAGTGAAATAGTGTTTCCCAATATCCAACCTAGAGCTCCCCCACTGCAACTTGAAACCATTGCTTCTTGTTCTGTCATCTGCCACCACTGAGAACAGCCGAGTTCCATCCTCTTTGGAACCCCCCTTCAGGTAGTTGAAGGCTGCTATCAAATCCCCCCTCACTCTTCTCTTCTGCAGACTAAATAACCCCAGTTCCCTCAGCCTCTCCTCGTAAGTCATGTGCCCCAGTCCCCTAATCATTTTCGTTGCCCTCCGCTGGACTCTCTCCAATTTGTCCACATCCCTTCTGTCATGGGGGGACCAAAACTGGACGCTGTACTCCAGGTGTGGCCTCACCAGTGTCGAATAGAGGGGAATAATCACTTCCCTTGATCTGCTGGCAATGTTCATTGTAATCCCCAGGTCCTTTTCTGCAGAACTGCTGCTTAGCCAGTCGGTCCCCAGCCTGTGGCGGTGCGTGGGATTCTTTCTTCCTAAGTGCATGACTCTGCACTTTCCTTGTTGGACCTCATCAGATTTATTTTGGCCCAATCCTCCAATTTGTCTAGGTCACTCTGGACCCTATCCCTACCCTCCAGTGTATCTATCTCTCCCCCCAGCTTAGTGTCATCTGCGAACTTGCTGAGGGTGCAATTAATCCCATCATCCAGATCATTAATAAAGATGTTGAACAAAACCGGCCCCAGGACCGACCCCTGGGGCACTCTGCTTGATATTGGCTGCCAAGTAGACATCGAGCCATTGATCACTACCCACTGAGCCCGACAATCTAGCCAGCCATGTTCTGCAACCCCTGGACAATACAGAGTACTGAGAACACCAGCATATGTTCCCCCAATGAAACCTTGCAGCTGTGCTACCAGATACCATTCCTCTCCCCAGCTGAAGCTCAGGGCAGCAAGAACAATTGCCCCTGAGAGCCCCGCTCTTTCGTGCCATGTAACACACCTGGAACTTTGAGCCTCGACACCAGAAGGCAGAAGAACAAGAAGAGACAGAGGCAAGATGTATATTCACCTGTGAATTGGAGCCTGCTGTTGTTGTGTGCTGCCTTCCACTGCACTGTGCCACTTCAAAGCTGTGTTTCATTGTTATTTTAATTAAAAATTTATTTTTGGTTGTTACATAACAAATTGTTTTTAATAATAAAAACCTTTAAAATTCATTCAAAAGGACTTGGCAATGCATGTGTGACAAAGTGGGAATTTTCTGTAATGTTTTTATGATTCCTATGTGAGCCTTAGTTTCCCTCTGTACTTTGCATTGCTACCAAGTGGGTGGAAAAGGTTAAAAAACTGCTCTTGGGGCAGAGCGGGAAACATAAGGTATTGTCTTACATTACTGATTGGGATGGAATGAATGCGTCATTAAGCACTGACTGAAACTGACCCATATTGAAGGAGGGTCCTCAAAGACAATGGGAGACGTAAGGACTGAACAACTGACACTTACACGTGGGAAACTCCAGCAGGCAGGACGCGTGAACTCAGCACGAAAGGTGTCATGTGGCTGGGATAAGAGGCTTTTGGGAGAGAGACAGCAGCTGTCACTTGGGATTGCCAAAGAGAGAGGGAGAGAGAGCCAAAAATGGATTCCACGGTAGCGTAGCTGTGAGGAGAGCTTGCTTGGCCAGAATGGACTACATCTTAACATTTATTTCTCTGCCACTTCCCGGAGCTGTGTTCCAGCTGGCTGATAAATCCTGCTCTGTTTTGAAAAGGCTGCCTGGTAACACTGAATATCCTTGCGGAGGTGCATTGATCCCTGGACGCCCGGGCAGAGCTCACCGTACAAAGCAGGAGTACCGGAACCCAGAAGCTCAATCTCAGAGGCATTGAGGCTATGTCCTACCCTAAAGGAAGAGTTGGGCTCCTTGGGGGTCTGGCATACTGAAGCGGTTCCTCCAAGGGACTGTTTAAAAGCTGGGGCATGCTGGGGATCGGTGACAGCATGGTACACAGAAAAAACGGAAATTTTGCATGTCATAGGTTTTTCTAAAACTATAAAAGCACAGACATGATAAAATAAGGAGTACCATAATGGGCCACTTCTACCACCCATAAAAGACACTCCAATGCTCACAATCCATTCTCCCCACTACTCCCTGGGATAATAGCTGGATGTACAGCGGCACACTGTCAGGCCTGAGACTCAAAGTAAGAGCAATATGCATCCCTGATAGTATTGCCATCGCTGTTTCCATTTTCAACTGGCTGCTTAAACCGCTGAGCAAGTCTCCGCCACTCAATCTCCCATCCACTGTTAAGGCTTTCTCCTTTACTCTCACAGCTATTTTGCAAAATACAACATGTAGCTATAATCCAAGGCAAGTTAGCCCATAAAGAGAGACACCTTCTTCCACTCCATGCATCTGATGAAGTGGGCTTTAGCCCACGAAAGCTTATGCCCAAATAAATTTGTTAGAGTCTAAGGTGACATGAGGACTCCTCGTTGTTTTTGCTGATACTGACCAACATGGCTACCACTCTGAAACCTTCTTTTCAGATCGCCAAATACATACTCCACTGTCATACTGAGGCACTAGTTAAACAGTTCCTTCCTCCTGTCCAAGTGGTCTGTGAATTGCTTCATTAGCCAGGGAAGCCGAGGATAAACCGGGTCTCCCAGGATAACCAGAGGATTCTCCACACCATTAATGTTCATAGTGGTCCTGGGGAAAAGCCTCCTTTATTCTTTAAAGTAAACAGAGCAGCATTCTGAAAGATCCTAGCATTGTGGACCTTTCTACACCACCCTGCATTTATGTTTGTGAACAAGTCATGGTGGTCAACCAGGCCTCGGAGCAACCATGTAGAAATACTCCTTTCTGTTCATAAACTCTGAGCCCTGGTGTGGGGGGCAAAAAATAGGGACATGGGTCCCATCAATTACCCCAACCCAGTTTGGGAACCCCATGCATGCAATGCCATCAAAAATCTCCTGAGCATCACTAAGCTTTAAAAACCAATACAATGGTACCTTACGCATGACATCACACACCTGCCTCACAATGGACCCACCAGTGATCTCCCAATGCCAAATTGGCTGGCTATAGACTGGTAACATTTGGGGGTGGTTGGCTTCCAGATGGCAATGGTGACATGCTTCTCAATGGGTGTGGGGCACTGCCTGCTGGTCTGGGGCTGCTGTGGCTCCAGGGCTAGTTCAGCACTGATCTCAGGTTGTCTTCACCATTGTGATGGGGTTCACTCACCACTGTGGCGCCTCCTGCTGGCTGTCCTGGGGATTAGCTCTGTTCACCAGTGCACCCTCTTCTGGTGCTGTCCAGCCGCCGTCACTTCTGCTCCAGGACCCACGTCACTCCAAGGACTGCAGCGTCCTCTTCAGGACACAGCCCTCCGGCTGCGCCGCACTCTGTGCTCCCCCACTTCCAGGGGATAGTATCACAGTCCGCTGTCCAGCCACTTCCCTCAGTGGCTACTGCAGCCAATTGGCCACTTCCTCAGTGGCAAGGCGGGGGGTGGGAGGGGAGAAACCCGGGCCCACCTACTACTCCAGGTCCCGGCCCAGGGATTCTGTAGATGGCTGCCACTTGCTGCATCCCCTCCGACTCCTCAGTAGATTTCCCTGGGCCATTTCCCTGTGGCCTCAGCACCCTATTTGCCCTTGCTTCAGGGTCTCGGCCTGCAGATCCCTGCAGCCCGCCAGGGGCTGTCTTTAGCTCCCCCAGTCTCTGCCTGTAGCACTGCTCTGTCCAGGGTGCTTGCTGCCTTCAGCCTGCAAGGCAGCCAGTCCTCCTCCCTCCTCAAGCTCCAGGGAGTGACTGAAGCGGCTCTGCTCGGCAGTCCTTCTTGTATGGGCCAACCTGGCCTTAATTGGCTGCTCCTCGCTCCTTTTGTGCAGCCTCCCTTGGGCTCTAATAACCCTTTATAAGCCAGGGTAGGGCAGATGCCCCATCACAACCATCCTGAAATTCTGTCACCAAATTCTGCTGAACATTCCAGGTCTGCAGAACTATCTTCTCTCATCAACTGATGCTGATTTCCCAAGCCCAAAAACAGTGCTGTGAAGCTGCTCCAAGAAGAGCTTGTGAAACAGCAGTTGCTCGGTGTCCTCCTCGTCTTCCTTGTCCTCCTCCTCTGCTGCTGCTGGAGGAGCCGCTGGTACAGCCACATCATCTGCTCAGTAGTGCACAGTTGTCCTGTGTGCACACTATAAGTACAGCTTACATATTGCGCACTAACCACTGTGCGTCACACACAATATGAACTAACCACCCCACGTAGATCAGGCCTCAGGAATCTCAAAAGAAACTACGCAATTGGTTTCTACTTTGTGTGAAGAACAGGCATTAACAAAGCAAAGAAAACAGCAAGACCGGTCTTTCTGAACGGCTTTGGAGGAAATACTCGCTATAAAACTTTAGCACCAGCTAGTTCAGTCACATTTCTGTAGTAAAAATTATTCAATACAAGAAAATAGCTCTTTAAAGAGATCAAAAAGCAGCAGTGGCAATCAAGCCTTTTTTTATGAACCTCAGACGCACTCGGAGCAGCTGCAGTAGCGTTTGAAACAAGTCAGAGCACTAACAGTGACGCAAAATTCATTCTATTTATACCTCTTGCAAAGATGTAAACAGTAAATTTAGTGAGGTATAGCTACCTTTTTGTTGGCGTGGGTGCTCCGGAGGACATATGGGTAACCATGGTGTCGTTCATGTTTGTCAGAGGTCGAGGAGGACTAAAATAGAAATAACGTATTCCATGTTAATGATTAAAAAAACAGCAGTAAATACAGATAAAGGTGAAAACAAAACTATTATTCTGTGTAAGAACATTAGGTCAAAGGTACAACTAATTCAAATGGCTAAGTAACAGCAGTCTCTACATAGGTAGGGGTGTTGTGTTCAGATTGCCTTAAAGAATTCATGTGTCAGGTTAAAATGAGGGTAAAAAACGGTTATTTATATGCATGGTAACTGTTGTTCTTCAGTAGGTTGTGCACATATACATTCCACAGCAGGTGTTTGTGCACCCAATGCACTTGAGTCGGATTTCTGCCTGCAGTACAACTAGGAGACACATGTGCTCCTGCGCTTCTCATGCTCTCAGGCAAGGGCATAAAAGAGGCGTGGTCACCACTTCCCTCGTTGTTCCTTCGCACTGCCATATGTAATGTTCAATGTAGCAGGGAAGTTGGGAGGGTTGTGGAATGTATGTATGTGCAATGTAAAATGTATGTTGAAGAACCACAGTTACTGTATGCATAAGTAACTTTTTTTTAAAACTCTGAGTGATTGTGCACATATACATTACACAGCAGGTGACTCATCAGCAGTTCCCTTGTAGGTGGAGGGACTTTGAATCATCTGAACAGAGACTATAGCACCAACTTGCCAAAGTTGCATCATTTTGAGAGGCCTGACTGATGGTATAGTAAGCAGAACAAGGATGTACAGACGACCATGTCACTTCCTTGCAGATATCAGCTACTGGAGCATTGCTCCACAAACATGAAGTATTTCTTTAGCTTTAGAAGAATGGAGCTTTGGGGGGAAAAAACACTGGCAAATGAACAGTTTGCTTCAGGCAATGATTATGCTTTAGGCATAAATTTAGGGTGTGGTCTAAGGGAAACCTTTGCCTTTATGGAAAACCACAAAAGGAGCACAAGCCAGAAGGACATGAAGTTCTGAAACCATCCTAGTAGAAGTAATCGCCACCAGAAAAGCCATCTTCATAGACAATAACAATAGTGAGGTTATAGCCCTAAGCTCAAAGAAAGGTCCTGTGAGTTTGGAGATGGCTAGATTGAGATCCCATACAGGTACAGAATCAGACACAGGAGGGTACATTTTGACTAGACCTTTCAAGAATTGGAAACAAGAGGGTGAGAGAAAACGGAAAACCCATCACTGGTGAATGTAGCACAGAAATGGAAGCCAGGTGAACTCTCACAGAACTAATCAAAAGGCCTGATGATTTCAGGGGAAACAAATAGTCCAGCACATCTGCAACTGCCGTGAGATGGTGTGATATATGTTGAGATTGCACCCAGATCAAAAATCTCTTCCATTTTGTGGAGTATGTTGCTCTTAGTCTAGTGAATTATTTTCTGCTATTCACCAACATGTCTGAACCCCTCAGGAGCACAATTTCTTATGGGAATTCAACCAGAAATGATCTATGCTGTAAGATAGAGACACTGGAGGTTGGGATGTAGAATCTTGCCTTGGTTCTTAGACAGAAGGTACTCCATCAGTGGTAAAGTTATCGGTGACCAGACAGAAAGCTGATATAGGTCCATGAACCAGTATTTTCTTGGCCATACTGATGCAATAAGGATTAATATTGGTTTGTCTCTTTTCAGCTTCCTGAGTACCTTCAGAATAAGAGGAACTCAACCAGACATAGGAGATGAATGGACCATGGAAGAAGAAAGGCATCTGTGATGGAACCCAGACAGTGGCCTGTCCTGGAGCAAAATATTATGCACTTGTTATTCAGGTTGGTTGCAAACAAGCCTATTGCTTGGTACCCCCTGTGGTGGAAGATCTGAAGCAGAACATCCTTCCTGACTGACCACTCATGAAAAGCCTTCAGGGAAACATTGAGGCAAATGCATAAATTCCATAAAAGAATAGCTTCTTGGTACAGTTGAAGCTATTTTGCACCTCCCTGCTTGTTCAGATAGAACAAGATAGTGGTGTTCTATGTAAGAACTTGTACCACCTGGTTCCTGATGCTGGACAAACATTTTGCAGACCCGAAGAATAGTTTGGAGCTCTAATACGTTTATGTGGAGGTGAAACTTCCTGAAGTGACCAAAGAGGTTTTGTCTGTAGTTGACAGATGGGCTCCCCAAACTTTGATAGACAACTTTCCAGAATCATAGTTGGTTCTGGAGACAAAAATGGCACTTCTTTGTGCACATTGTTCGGGGTTCTAGCACCAGTTGAGAGACTGAAACACTCATGCAGGTACACAAAGCTGCATGCCCAAGGGGTGTCTAAAAGGATGATATACCAAATGGAGCCACACCTGTAGACAGCGAAGGTGAAATCTGGCATGCAGTTATGTATGTGCATGAGGCCACGTGGCCTGGAGCTGAAGGCAGGCATGCACTGATGTCAATGAGTTGGATTTGAGACTTTCTGAGAGAAAGGCTACAGATTGAAACCTTCCCTGAAAGGTAAGCCATAGTGGTCACGCCATCGAGGTCTGCTTCTATGAGTTGTGTTGGTTGTAACTATGATTTGTCCGAATTTAGTTTCAGGTGCAGATGGGAAAATAGCTGTTTGATGACTAGGATACCGTTTTGGGCCTGGTCTCTTGATGCTCCACGAACTAGCCGATTATTTGGGTAAGGAAAATTTGAACGCTCAAATGGCAGAGGTGGGATGCTACCATGTACTAGGCGAAGACCCTTGAGGCTGATGACAGTCTGAAGAGAAGCACTGTGTACTGGTAATAGTTGGTACCTGCTATGAATCAAAGGTACAGGCGAGTTTCATCTTACGCGGGGGTTCCGTTCCGCGGTCAGCGCGTAAAGCGAAAACCGCGTATGGTCAAAATTACATTGAGTTCAATGGCGGGCGGAATCGCCCGCACTACAGGTACAGCATTAAAATTGTTATTTTTCTCTTTTTTTGTTTTGTTTTTGCCGACCGCGTAAAGCTGAAATTGCGCATGTTAAATGCGTGTAAGATGCGACAGACCTGTACTTCCTATGGCAAGGATGTATCGCCACATGGAAGTATGAGTCCTGTAAACAGAGGGTACCATACAAATTTCCAATCTCCAGGGAAGGGATAATAGAAGCAAGCAGACCATCCTAAACTTGCTTTCTTAGATCTAGAATGGGGCAAGGCCACCAGATTGCTTGGGAGCAGGAAGTAATGGGAATAGAAGCCATTTCTTCTGTGTTAGTAAGGACCTTATTTCATCACTTCCAATTCTAGAGATCATAGTTCTTGAAGTAATAGTCTTGTGAGAAGTGAACCTGAAAGGACAGGGAGGGTGGGTTGGGAAAAGGGAGGAAGTTCATTGGATAACATAGCCCTCCTTTGATGGGCTGAGCACCCAGTTGTCTGATGTGATGCTTTCCCAAGCACAGTGGAAGAGGAACAGACATCATCCAAAGGGAGGAGATATAGTTGGTATGCTGTCCGTGACCAAGAAGTCAAAAAGATTGTTTGGAAGTTGCAGCTGTCTGGTGAGAAGGGACTCCTGCTGATGAAGATGGCTGGAGACCTCGACATTGACTTTCTCTTAGGGCTGGTCTATACTTAGCCGCTAGTTCGGCGGCTGGAAATCGAACTTCCTGGTTCGATTTATCGCGTCTGGTCTGGACGCGATAAATCGAACCAGGAAGTGCTCGCCGTCGACTGCGGTACTCCATCTCAACGAGAGGAGTACCGCAGAGTCGACGGGGGAGTCTGCCTGCCCCGTGTGGACCGCGTCTGAACCGCGGTAAGTTCGAAGTAAGGTATGTCGACTTCAGCTACGTTATTCACGTAGCTGAAGTTGCGTACCTTACTTCGACTTGGGGGGTTAGTGTAGACCAGGCCTTAGAGGCATACTGGGAATGATCTCTGTGGGAAAGAGGGTCTGGAGTAAGATTATGGACTAAACTGTTTCCTCTTGGTAACCAAAGTATAAACTCCTAACGAATGAACTATTGCACGGGAGTCTTTCAACGGGCGCACAGTGCCATCTGTTTTAGCAGAACACAGTTTAGACCCCTCAAAAGGTAAGACTTCTATGGTGTTCTGCAGCTCCCTTGGAACGCCAGAAGCCTGGAGTGAAGAATAACGCTGCATGGCGATTGCAGTGACCACAGAATGCAAAGCCATATCAGCAGCATATATTGCTGCCTTGAGGTATGCATGAGCTGTAAGATATCCCTCTGAAACCAAAACTAAAAACTGTTCTTTATATTCCTCTGACAATTTGTCAGCAAATTTAGAAATGGCAGAGAAATGAATAAAGTTATATTTTGACAAAAGAACCTAATAATTAGCAACACTCATTTGAAGAGTGGCAGTAGAATAAACCATTTGGCCGTATAAATCAGTCTCTTAAATGTCTTATCTTTGGGAGTGGCCTTAAGATGGGATTGATGGGACCTCTCATTAAACCACCAAAGAATCAGGAATTAGATGGGTAAAGAAACAGCCAAAATCTTATTGAGGGACTTGGTATCATCTGTCCACTTGCTTGGCTGGAGTCTACCAGAGAGTTTTCACTGACAGGAAGCACAACACTTCCTGGGGCAGGAGTCTTATATTTAGGAAAGTATGTAGATTCTCTTGCACAAGTTCCACCTGCACCCCTAAAGAATTGGCCACCACCTCATGGGGTCCTGAAAAAACTTTAAAGTCCTCTGGGAGGCAGAGGGGAGACAAGGACTCTGGAGAGACAGCCTCATCTGGTGAAGATGAAGAACTATGAGGGGTGGGACGATCTAAGGGTTCCTCCATTAATTCTCCCTCCATGGGTCCTAACAAGAAAACCCCTAACCTAAACAACCCAAACATTTTTGGGTCACAACTCGCTTTCCCAATTTTTGTCTATGCATCATGATGCTTATATTATGCACTCTTTGGGACACAAACTGTCTCCTTATAAACTGTCTTTACATAAAGTGAAATGGATACCCCTGCTGCTGTATAACTAATATTTATTTGCAGTAAGTGGGATGTGTGTGTTATTGAATTGTGAAGACAGATGTAAAGCAAG